TATATATTACTGGGAAACCAGGAGCAGTAAGAGGTAAACGCCTCGTGAATCCAACTTAATTTAAACTTACAATGGTCTTTAACTGCAAGCGTTAAGAGAATGAATGAGAAACAAAGCAGGGTGAAAGTAGGAAGTGTCCTGAAGGTGTCCTGAAGTTACTGTAGTGATCAAAGACTCCACGGGTTTGTGTCCTCGCTCTGAGCGCCCTGTCACAGCTGTCACACGGTGCACTCTGCTCTCCACAGTTTTCACGAGTCAGCATTATCAAACCTGCATCGAGTCCTCTGTGGTTCCAGCTTTACCTGAGACAACCTGTCTCTGTGTGTGTGTGTGTGTTAACGTCTTACCATCTCAGACGTGTCCACTGGGGAGAAGTGACTGTCACAGTCGGCTCCTTCAAAGTGAACGGTCCAGGCGCCGGGCGAACGAGGATGTGGTACTAACCGACAAAAACCTGTAGGAGAAAACGCACATGGTTACACACAAACACATTTACAGTAAAAGTATATGTTCAACAAACCAACTGTGGAGCAGAGCGAGATTCTCTGCAGGTTTATTTCTCCTGAAATAACAACAATCTTACAAATACTGTAATAAATAATTTATCAAAGTTTATCTTATTTTTCCCAAACCGATTGCTTGTTTCTGCTTCATAGAGAAAGAAGAACAAACTTTAACACTATATTTATTTTTCAAAGCAACACTACGTCGGCTTTTGAATAGATCTCTGCTAAAAATGTCCAAAGAAAAATACCATCAGTTGACTCATGCTGTGGGATGTAACTCCACAACTAGATTAATGGTCTAGCTTCCAGTAACATTACCTCGCTGCAGCAGCGGCTCCAGGAAGTCCTGCAGGCCGTTGGGGAGGCTGCGCACCACGTCGCAGGAGTAGCCGTCCTCAGGGAGGAGGAAGGGCAGCTGGAGGTCTGGGTCCTCCTCCAGCTGGACCTCTCTCCCGTCACTCCTCGCCAGCTCGTCCGCTGTGTTTTCCGCCACTGCCACCACGTGGTCTATCAGCTCCTACACACGCAAGCCAGAAGAAACACACAATCAGGAAACTGTGTTACTTCACAATAAAGTATTGTTTTTAATATAAGTGTGTGTGACTCACAGGCGGGATGTAAGGCTCATCTGGAGCACAGTGGTAGTTGGTCATGAGGGCGTGGAGCTGCAGGGAGTTGAGCTTGAAGCAGGTGTTGTGGATGTTCTGCACGTCCTGCATGGAGTATTTGTCCATGGTCAGCAGGGTGGTGGCCTGGAACAGACACACACAAATAAAACTTATTGTCTGTATATTTTCAGCCCAAGCCCTCCACTACACACAGAGAGGCGTGTGCTACATTTCATGCACACACATCGTGCTACAAGCGCCTCCTGCCCTCCCTTACCTGTACGATTCGGCTGAGGTGGCAGTCAGCGGCGAGCTCCAGACCCTGCTTCTCGGCCCAGGCCTCGATGTGGCTGAGCTGCTGTCGGAGGATGGCGCCCCAGTAGTGACAGCACAGCCCCGAATCCGTGTCCGTCACCAGCTTGTTGAACAGCCACATGTTGATGAAGTGGAAGAGCTGCGAGAAGAGCTGGATGGTCAGAGCGGCGTTGACCCGGCACCGCCGCAGCAACGACATCGCCCCCGTCAGGGTGTGCAGGACATCCTCTGGAAAAGAAAATGTCAGTCTTAAAATGTCCTGAGGTTTTAAAGCAAGAATCGAAACATCTGTGTGCCTGTGTTAAACCACGGATGTATGGTACGAGTGTGTTGAACTCCAGGACTTGGTTTCGCAGAGGTTTCGCCAGGAATTACGATTTAGGGAGTTTTAAACGTGGGAACTGTAAGAGATGTTTCTGTCGGGCAGTGATTCCCAAACCAAGACACTCCTAAAGGCAGGGCAGGTTTTTTCCTCTTCTCTGTGCGGTGATGTTTTTATATTTTACCTATCTTGGGTCTCTGTGGATTGTGTTCCTCCGGGTCGTCTAGGAAGGCAGGCATATAGTTATTCAGATCAGCCTGGAGACAGTGAACCAGGTATCTGCAATCACACGTTAAGAGTTTGTTAAATACAAAACATTTATCATCGGCAAAACCACAAACACAGCTCTCGTCCCATTTTTACTTAAAAAAAAAATATCCTTCCTGTTTAGTGAAAATCAGGTTTCTCATATTTCTACATAATTTATTTGCGTGTAGCGTTAGCTTTGATCTATCAAAGTCATAATTTGACGTTACTTATAAAGTCACATTCCCTGATTTTCCCTGGTACGACTGCATCTCTGAAAAACCCACGATATCCCACAACTCCTGCAACATCCAGTCGCACAATCACACACACACACACGCTCAGACTGACTTGAACGCCATCTGGACCAGATGGGCGAGGATGTCCTGGGCGTCCAGCGTGATGCGGCTCAGGTCTCGGTCCTGCTTGATGAAGTTGAGCAGCTCCGAGGCGTTGGCCATCCAGAAAGCCAGCGCTCCTGCAATGTTCTTCTGCTTCTGTAACGTACCAATCACACGCACAGAGACAAAAAAAAAAAAAAGACACACGGAGGAAGCTGTTAGAGCAGCGGGATGAAGGAGGAGGAGTTAAAATAAAGACGGTAGAAGACAGGGGGTTCTGTTTGAGTGGCAGCCAGAAGGAGCAGTTGTTACTTCAGGGATAGACTCGTGCCCGGCCCACCCCTCCCTCTAAGCCAACCCGGAGTCCAGAGGAGTGGTCATCACTGTCAGTTTAAAGAATATGCTCCAGCAAAGTGTGATTTCTTCACATCTTAAATCCGTCGACATTTTGAATTTTCACACAAAGGGAAGAAGCTTCTTCTCCTTCAACCGTGCAGAGGAGACAATAGTGACCAATCCTTTTTCACCGCCAGACACAACTCCATTCACCAGGTCGTCAGACACCAGCCTCCGCCCCGTGCAGGTTCAGATGTCGCTCTACTTCGTGTTTGTAGTGTTTAGACTGTAGACTTACACTGTGAACAACATTCATTCAAGCGCTCCTCTCATACCCTCAACAAAATCATTTGCAAGGAAGTAAATCAACAACAGCCAATTAAAGCTGTTTAAGGAAAATACTGTGAAAGGTGGGATACATTTATTTGTTTTCTTAATGAGAGTCTGAAGAAAAACAAGAGCTTCACCACTTTCACGTGGCCACGTCTGACTGTGGGAATCCGTTAATTAGCTTAGCTTATCGAAAAGACCGAAAACTACATTTAAAGCTGCGCAATTAAACTGCCGTAATGTTTTTGTCTAATCCATAAAAACAATAATTTGTGGTGTTAAAGAGGGTTTTGTGTTTTGGAATGGAAGCAGTGACGTCTTGAAGAGATTAAACAGAAGCAAACATGTTAACAGAGCCATTAGAGGCGTTATTCACAAAGACATTACACCAAAAAACTTTCACGATTTTCTTTAGCTTTTGCAGACGGCACAACATATTAAAGACATGTTGTCAAAGAAACGAGAAACTTTTAATGTTTTTGGAACTGCGTCAGACTGAAAGTCAACATATTTAACACTTTAAGGCCTAAAACTCAATTTTAGACTCAATTGAACAGCAGAGAGAGGAGCATTTAATTCTTTAAATAACGCTCCACGTGTCAGTCTACAGTCTAAAGAACAGATATCTGGTCTTGAGATTAAGGGGGAGGACAGAGCTCAGTGTCTAAAGAGCTGATTGGTTAATAACCCCGCCACTCACAGAGGGAGGAATGTGCGAAGCCCGCCCCACCCTCCCTTGCACTCATCTATCCCCGCCTTGAAAAAAAAAAACAAATGTAAAAGAAATCAAACGAAACAAAGAAGAGGCAAAAAAAAACACAACCTCTTCATTCAGAACAGCCAGAGAATGAGAGACGGAGCCAAGTGCATCCAAAATGAAAACGTAACATTAAAACACTGAAGGAGACATTTAAAAACACAGACAGATGGTTCAACGCGTTAAATGAACGTCCAAACAGACACGTGAAGCAGAGGAGGTCAGAGCGACTTGTCTCTCATCCACACTGTTGATGTCAGAAACAATGGATGCCAGAATTAAAGATGGAGCAACGATGGAAAAGAGTGGTTGCTTTGGTTTTTGCTCTTTTTTTTTTTTTGGTTTTAGGTTTGTTTGTTTTTAGTACCAGGCAGGTCCAGGAAGCTGAATGGAATTAGTTGGGCTGATGTTGCTGTTGTTGCTTAGTTTTCCAGCTGTGGGTAGGACGTGTTATTATCATCGCTTTATTTTACATTTCTGTTAGAATGGAGAAAAAGAAGCAGCAGCAACAATGAAGGGCTGGTCAAAAAGCAGAGAGAGAGAGAGAGAGAGAGAGAGAGAGAGAGAGAGAGAGAGAGAGAGAGGTAGACAGTGAACGGTAGAGAGAGAGAGAGAGAGAGAGGTAGACAGTGAACGGTAGAGGGAGAGAGAGAGAGAGAGAGAGAGAGAGAGAGAGAGGTAAAGAGAGGTAGAGATTAATAGAGGAGGACAGAGAGGTTGATGGGGTTGGGCGACACAATCTCACTTTATCGTCGATTTAAATCTTATCTGCTTTGCCTTCAAAAGGAATTAAGTGATTGTAACAGACTGCAACTGTTCTCTTGTTAAAAGAAAGATTAAAGATGTGCATCACGAAGACGGAGTTTCCTCAAATTAACTTTTATCGTCTGCTTAAAAATGCATATTTTAACAAGTCATTCACTCTGATTCCTAATTAAAAGAGGGTGTTTTACAGTGATATTACTTATTTTGTTACATTGCACTTCACATTAAGCTGAACAAACAATAACTAAAATAATTATTAGGATTTCTTGTAAAAAATCTTGTATGCATGTCGCCCAAACCGAGAGAGGGAGAGAGAAGAGGAGGTAGAGGAAGAGTGAGTGAGGTAGACGAGTCTGTAGCAGCCGTATCATGGTGTGCTATCCTACCTGATCCCCTTCAGGAATCTCCTGGATGGAAGGAAGAAGAGGAAGAAGAGGAGGAGGAGGAGGAGGACACATTCACAGGACAGAGAGAAAACACGTCAACAGCTACAGTATGGACACAGCCATGTAACACACACACACACACACACACACACACACACACACACACACAATGACACACATGGTCATGGTTTACAATGTGGCGTCCCGGTGAATCAGTTAAAGAACATAACTGATGGACGTCAGATGAAAAGTACATGTGGTCGAGAACTTAAGTTCTTTATAAATATATTTAAGTCTAACACTGTACTACTACAGTATATTTGCACACTGCTTGTAAATCTCACTGTTTAAAACTACAAATACCCTCAAGCAATTAATGTACATGTATTAGAGACTGACACTCACTGCCCGGTGGGTCTTAGTGTTCATGTGTGAAAATGTATAAATATAAAGCAGAGGGTCGCTGACAAAAAAAAAGCCTGAATAAGTTTCCTTTAAACATCAATAACATTTTCAAACTTTGGGACAAATGAGTAAATTCTGCATCATGCGGCCGTTAATGGGAGTAAAGGCAGCCTCTGCTCACGCTGTGCACAACGAGCTCCGTTAGTCAGAGGAGAGCCATGCTCAGGTTCAACAGATAATCCAGCTAAAGCTTGGAGCTTCTGAATATCTGACAAAGGAGGACTCAGCAAACTTTCAGCAAAACACAGGTTCAGTGAGGAGAACCACCAGGAGCAATGACAACAATAGTGAAGAGGTGGAAGCTGTTAGACGTGTTGACCTCCCTCTTTGTTTAAATTATTATCCATCCACACTACCATGTTTGAGTTTAAAGAAGCATCCTCGCTTATCCCTCCCGTCAACACTACTCTGGAGTTTTTGAAGTTTGGAAATGGTGCTGACCTTGTTTTAGTTTGAAAACTTAGTTTGTGTGGATCCAGTCTTAGCAGACAGGGTTTGGTGATTTCTTTCTGAAACTCTTTTAAATCCTCTCAAGCCTGATAGCCATCAATAAATCAATCAATCCTAGATTCAGTTTCATCCACACTTGTCCTGTGTCATCGCAGGCTTCACACCTCGAGCACGTAACACTGACAGGGAGACAAACACAAGACAGAAGCACGGGAGGTAACTGTGGAGAGAACTCTGCAAGAAACAAACGTGCAGACGAGTACACACGACTTACAGCAACTACATGTCGTAGTTTGTAAGAATTCAGTTAATGGGGGGTGGGGGGGGTTTGAAACATCAGATCATTTGTCACATTTCAACACGAGCAGGAATCATTGCGGCGGAGAGCGGCTGAACTAATGGCAGCAGAACACGCTGAGATAACGTCAGTGACCTGTGAGACGAACGTGACGGCGCACGAACAAAAGATTTAAAAAAGAGCAGCGGTACTGACCTGGATGACTCCCTCCATCATGCTCACCATCTTGTTGACGATGGCGATGACCTTGTGCGTCCTCTCAGAGGGCGACATGTCCGGCCGGTACGATGGCGACAGGACAAAGCGGCAGGCCATGTACAGGACATACGTGGGTGAGAGTTTGAAGTGAACTGTGGAGCTGTTGGTGTAGTTGATGATGGCGGACAGGAAGGTGTCTTCAGCTGGGGGAACGGGCACAGAGTCAGATGATTAGATCATTACACCTGATTCCAGACGGAATTACAGAAGCAAAGCACACGGACTGCAACAGATCCCGTTCTGAGCTGCGGGAGGGAGTTTGTTTAAGTCACTATTGGCGGTCGGTTGGTCGCAGAGCTTGGCTGCTCATTCGGGATAAAACCACTCGGAGCCTGACTGTGGTATCAGTTGCTTTCAGTTTAGTTTGGGTGGTGAAGTGTTGGAAGTCAAACTCGCTGCAAGAGACATGTGCATCATCCTCCCCAAACGAACTTTCAGGGACTTTTGATTATGTGGTTTCTCGTACTGCATTGTGGGTATTGGCCCTCTCCGCCGCTCCATGACCAATTACAACCCTACTTCAGCTGGAAAAACAGATGATCTCACACGATACCAAAATATATATATACACTCTGTGCACATACAGACACATTAAGGCCCAGAGGACACAGAGAGTCAATAAACAGAAATGTTATACAGACGGAATAAACGGCTTAGAGCAACAAAGAGGGTGTGGGAAAACGTCCGACTGCAGAAAACCTGGAACTAATTTATCACAAATTTAACGACCAAATAAAACAGCTCTGACCGAATCCATGTCAGTCTAGATACATCAGTTTGTCTAATGTGGCCAAACCAACCATCTGCTGCTAAGTTCATGTAAAAACTGATTTGTTTGGTCAGAAGGAACGAGGAGTTGATGCTTTCTTTATTTCTATATCGGACATAATGAGATTAACTTAAGAATTAGCAGCATTAATAAAGCAGCGGTTAAGTGACAAATGTGGGTTGAATTGCAAAAGTTTTCCGTTTCTGGGAATAAAAATCAATTAAAAAAATATTAATATATATGATGACTTGAATTCGCTGCTGAACTATATCAAATTTTAACTATATTTTCTATATTCAGATGTTTATCGTCTACCCCCGCTGAGGCATCACTGGTTCTTGTTCTCTGTTAAAGACAACTAAAAGGGTTCAATAGTTTCCAGCTATTGACTGGGTCACCGCCACAGTGAGGGGAACGGACAGAGAGAGAGAGAGAGAGACAGAGAGACGGAAGGAGACACATTAGCACTTACAGTTGTCTCTGAACTCGATGCCGGCCGGCAGAGTCAAATCTGTTCTGTCTGCTGAAATGTCCTGAGACCTGACAAGACACAATAACACAGTGAGGAGGGAAGATCAGAGGAAAAAAAAAAAAAGAGCAGTGTGAGGAGGAGGACGAGCTGAGGATGAAGACGAGGAGGAGTGTCTGACCTGCTGTCCTGTTGCTCTCCTCTGATCATGGGTTTGACCATCCCTCGCTCCATTTCCAGTTTTCCTGAGCTCTGTACAAACAGAAACCGCAGCAGTGTGAAGCAGCGGCAACTAAATCTAATTTCACTCTAATTTCATTTGCGACACATGAACCTAAATTTAGAGCGTATAGGGCCGACTGTACCGAGAGGCTTCAGTCACGCTTCAATGTGTATGTATATACAATGCACACAGATGCTCAACAGACAACAACCAAACTCTATGTGGGTGGTGTTCTCGTGTGGCTGGAGACGTCTCATGTTAAGATTAACTCCCAGGACTCACAAGGAACCAATACAACACGAAACAGAAGCTGCTGTTATATATTTCTGTTTCTTTCTTTTGAAAAATCTACAAGAGCAAAGACGGCGTAGCTTCTAATATATTGTTTCATGTCTGAAGCTGCGTCAGTTCGTCGAAAAAGAAAATTCATAAGGAGCCATTTTGATACTTAATGTACAGTTAAAGTTGATTCTTAAAATAAAAAAACAACTTGTAGTATTTATTTTATGCTCCATTTGTTTTCATATAAAGATTATTACCACCAGTCGCTTAATAATGTCAGTATAGATACCAGCACAGATTCAGTCGTTTAGTCTAACCCTAACCCATCCCAACAATACAACTACTGTTAAATCTGCTTTTTGCAAGTTATACAATATTTTGACGATGTTTGTAAGTGTGTGTGTGTGTGTGTGTGTGTGAGAGTGTGCGTGTGTTACCTTGCTGGTAGGCAGTGCAGCTCCACTGTGGACGTCCCCGTGAAGGTCGAAGGTGGTTTCTGGTACGCTGCTGCAGAGAGAGACAGACACATGCACCAGTTCAGAAGAGGAACTGTTGTGCTCCCTACAGCTGACTTTTCATTACTGACAACGACGAGAGCTCAGACTTAATCCACACACACACACAGAAACACACACACACAAAAACACAAACACACACTTATCTAACTCGTTCTCAGGGAGGAGCGCTGGATCAAAGATGCAGTAATGACTTACTAATACATGCAGACAGACAGTTCGCTAAATAAACATACACACACTGACATAACTGTCTAATTAGATATGGAGAAGCCACACAAGGAGTCGTGTGTGTGTGTGTGGGTGTGCGTGTGTGTGTGTGTGTGTGTGTGTGTGTGTGTGTGTGTGTGTGTGTGTGTGTGAGTGACAGTAATTGAGTGTGACAGCGGCTGGGTTTAAAAGGCAGGCTTCTGCTTTTCACGCCCCATATGACACGAGGGCATCAATGTCAAACAAACACATACACACAAAACTACAAAGCGCCTGTGCTCGGTCACTGACGGGAAGGTCACGGACACGATCACCACCAGCAGCAGAAGTAGGTTGAACCAGTAGGTTGAACCATTGACAACATCACTGAGTTCACACAGAGAGAGAGAGAGAGAGACGTGATTCTTTCTTTAACACACCACAGGGAAACCTTTTTTCTATCAAGGGCCAATTCAGCTGATGCACATCACAGTGATGTCTCTAATGCGATGGCTGGAACCACTTCTCTTTGGCGAGGCGCCTGAAGTCAGAATGAAGTGATGATGGCGCTACTCGACTTCGACTGTCCTGGTTTATGTCTTTGCAAGAGTCGGTTTTGAAAAGAATCTCTATCATCCAGCATCGACCCCCCMCCCCCCCCCCCAGGAAATCCATATTGTTAGTGGCTCTATCTTCGAGGTCGCTGTTGCTTTTCAGTTTAGTGATTTTGTGTTGCAGGTTTTCAGGCTGATGAAATGATTCCATATTAACCAGCTCCTCAAATAAGTTCATTACATTCGTTTACTTTTCATGTTCTGAAACCTCCAAAGGCCTGAAGGCTTTTTTTTATTTTTTTTTTTTTTGCAAACTCACCAGCATATTCATATTTCAGAGCCGGCTTTTCCGCTTACAGAGTAGAAACATGCAGAGTGTTAGCACACAAGGCAGAATTTAACTTTACTTCTAGCAGCAACAAGGCACTCCTTCAGACACTCTCCTTTCTGAATGAGGGTTCAGCTTCCTATCTGTTGCCCAAATAACTTTGTCTCTGTCTGCTTGAAGCAGTCGAACTCCACAGACGAGCGTAAACTTTATCCAAGAGCCTTTGACCTCATAACTCATCCAGATCAGCTGCATGTTTCCAGCTGTGATGACGCTCGACATCAGTGTGTGTGTCCAAATATTTGGCATACTGGTTTTAAACAAAAAAGAAAACAACATCATGCATCTAGTTTTATTTTCTTGTCACAGTGATGCTCGTCGGTGACGTCACGTCATATGTGCGGGGTGGGTGTGTTTCATTAAGGACGTCTCTTATTTTTCCTTTTATTGCAAAACAGAAATCTATTTCTTGTGTTTATCCAGACTTCCTGTGTGTTCTGTCCTTTCACGCTCCTCTCTCACTGACTAATTCTAAATTCTGGGGATGGTCCCGACTAAGAAGCAAGAGATTAAACTTCTGAACAAGATCATCTTTGGGACTGCCAACACCTGCTGCCAAATCTCTACAACTTAAAAAAAAAATCGTTCCAAACCCCGGCTCTAATCGCCCTAAACCTAAACGTCATGACGTGTCGTCTCCAGTTGGACAGAAAAAGGGTATCTCTGTAAGTTTGAAAAAGCAGCCCAGAAAATTACAGAGATCCGCAACTGCGAGCTCGGATTCCAGACACCGAGCGGCACCAAAATGACATGTGGGGTTAATGGTTCTCGCCAAACATTACAGACTTTCTTTCAACTTCAAGCTCAGGTCAGAGAACCCCTCAAAGCCTCAGTCCCAGAATGTCACAGGCCAGAAGAGGCTTCTGTCAGACGCGGCTAAACATGACAGCTATGATTAATAAAACAATTTTTATTTGAACCATCGATGGCAGCAAAGCAAGCTGTTGATGTACGTAAGCATTTTCCCTTTAACACTCCCCAGTGATCATACGTCAATGTGTTTGTGGTCAACGTCATGTAACTACAAATACTCAGCTTTGTTCCAGTATAATATTCTTAAAAATCTCATAATCAAAACCTATTCAATGTATAAAAGCTACAAGACAAACAGAGAGCATGTTCACTGGACAAGCTCCAACTCGTCGTCCTGATTACATCGTCCTCTGTGGTTGAAAGTCAGTTAAGGAGTATTTTTTTTTTGTCAGTGATGCAAACGTGTACTACAGAATTAAAACTCGCTCAACTCGTACAGCAACATGATGTAAGAGCCTTGTTACGGACCTGATCCAAACGTACCATTATCTTTGTGTCATCGTTCAATTTGTGATTTAAAAATAGTTAAAACACATTAAAATCTCATTTTGTGTCTTTTCAATTCAAACAAACTTCTACACATACCTGCAACAAAACTGTGCTGCTGCGGCATTAACGAAAGAACTGCGATTTTTTTTACTCCAAATACTGGAATCATTTTTAAAGATCAACTTTAACATAGAAGCTGAACCAGTATTTGTATTTCTGGTGATATCAAATAGTTAATTCCTGCTGAACCGGAGCGGTAAGTTAAAGCGTTACTTACACACCTCTCAGTTTTTCAGTCCATCCATTGAGTCATTAAAGGGACATTCAATTCAAATGTCCCTCATCCCCATCGGTCTCGCTCTTCTCCTCTCTCCTCTCAGCTGGTGCGCTCTCTTTCTTTCTATCTGCTGTTAAGTGTGTGAAACGACAGCAAGCCTGAGGCCACACCCAACGCCATGTTGATCAGATTAGAGGGCAGCCCGCCTGCCATAACCCTAGACCTCCGCTCTTCCTCTCCTCTCATTTCCTCATTCTCTCAACCCCAGACTTGCCTCCTCCCCCTTTTCCTTGCCTTCATCTTTCGCAACGCCTGCCAACTCCAAACCTCATCCTCTCCTCCCTTGTTCCAACAAAAACGCCCTCTCCCTTTTTTCTGTTCGCAAAATCCAAGGAGAAGTGTGTGTGCAGGGGATGAGGAGGAAGAATAGTGGGAGGATAAAAGAGGAAAAGAGGAGGAAGAAAGCAAAGAATGAAAACAGACAGAGGGGCATGAATCCACACACTCACCCAGACTTGTGTCGGCTCCTCATCATAGCCGCCGGTTCTCTCTTCCCCCCTTGGTCGAACATCGGGTCCACGAACTTAAAGACGTGAACAGAACCGAACTGGAGGGTGGAGCCCGGACGCAGCACGGTCGTCTCAGTGATGCGTTGTCCGTCAACGAAGGTGTCGGCGTCAGGGCCGTGTGGCGTCACGGTCACCATACCCTCACTGTGCATCAGGTTGCAATGATGGGGAAGAATCCCCGGACCTAACAACTGGAGACAAACACAAAAGGCATTCAGGAGTCTTACTGAATTTATGTTTGCTATTTCTGTTTATGTCTATAGTGGCGACTGGCTACTGCCTGGTTGTGTTGGTACACCCTGGGTTTGACTTTGCGTGCGTGTTTCGTACCTGAATGGCTCCGTCTTCTGTACAGTCTGAGCCGACCTCTGTGATGCTGTGCTGAAGCCGGTAAAGCTTTGGTTTGTCCCGTGAGTCAGACCCGTCTGGACAAATGAAGACATTCAGGATCAGCAACATTAATCTCTCAATCCAAATTTCAAAACAAGTGGCTCACGTTCGACTTTAAACACTCATACATTACAGTGGACATTAAAGAGTCAATGGAGACTGGTGTGTCCTGGGAGGTGAACTGCTAATGTGGCAAAAAAAACGTGTGTGGCTGCAGTGCAGTTATTGATTATTAGTAAACAGGAGTTTAGTAAAAGCAAAGCAGCAAATTAGTTCACTGAGGAAAAACATTGTTCATTGGGAAAAAGAAACCCTGGGGGAAGATGCATGCACCACCTTTCAGAAGGTGGTTTGAGGTTTTTCTAATATCCATTTACACATTTACATTTTATGAGGAAAGAAGTATAAGAAAAACCTCGAACCGCCTTTTAGAGATAATAACTGAAATCATGAGGCAGCTAATGTTACAAGGCTTCCAGGAAAGCTTGACTTTTTACAGTAAACATAATGAGGCTTGAGAAGGAAGAAGCCACTTTTCTGTGCTATTAAATCAAAATGATGCCGCATCCCAGCACTCAACTACTAATATTCTTTATGGTATCAAGTAATGAAATACGTATGCGTCTCAGTTTTCTGCTTTTTCCTCCCATGTGTTCTGAGTGTACTTTATGGAAATGACAACAAACAATACGTCTGATTCACAGATTATATATGAGAGATGTTCCCACGTACAGAGGCCTCAGTCCTCTATAGTGGCGGCAGGTTTGTTTTCAACTTGACGCACTTTGCAGATTCAGTTTAAGGATAATGAATCATTTATTTTTCATTAGTTTGTCTGTAACATGAGTAATCCTACACAGGACCACAACTACAACACAAGACACTGTTCAACTTCTAGCAGAGGAAGGGGAAGATGTTTTTTTTTTTTTTTTTTTTTTTTTTTAAATCTATATCGGCCAAAAGGGTAGTCAACAAAAACTCCCATCAGCCATTGCAACGGACACAAAGGAGGTGTGGTGGATTTTTTTACCTTCGTGGTGCCGATATGCGTAGTAGGCATAGTGATTCCCTCGCCCTAGTCAGGCAGACAGGCAGGCGGGTGCGGAGGAAGGAGAAGGACACATGCACAAGGCCCCACACACACACACACACACACACACACACACACACCATGCCATAAGAAGGTGGGAAAAAACAGACATAGCAGAGGGTAAAAATGCGGCAAGGAGGAAAATTTCAGCATTACCTTGTTAACCCATTAATTATATGGAAGGCCAACAAACACACTCACACACACACACAATATTTCTGTGGGCTTTTCACTTTCTATATTTATTATACAACTTAAGGAAAAATGTATTTTATAAAAAGATTTAGAAGTTACTAAAAACCAGGGTTTATCTCCGATACTCGGTAGGAAACTTTTAAAACATGAAGAACCCCAAACAGAGTTTGGTGGATTTGTTAGAGTGAATATAATTCAATGTATGTTTGACTTCTGGGTAATTTTATTGGCATGTTTTCCTTCAAGAACAAGAACGAGACGAGAGCAGATCATGACACATTCCTTATCTAAATTACTTATCAAGCAAGGTACAGTAACAAACACACAATCTCTCTCACACACACAGACCCACACACACACACACCCAGAGACCCAACACACACATACATTTCCGAAAAGCACAGTGGATGAAATGGATGCGTTAGTAAATTTCTGGACCCAAAAAAACCATCTCAGCACCAAGGTTCATGGCAGAGTGGTGCCGAGAGGTGTCACTGTCCGATTGGTTAATGGTACAAGGGGGCGACGGACAGAGGACGATCGTGAGAGAAAGGATCAGTAGCAAGAAACAAGCTGTTGAGGTGGATAATGTCACATTTAGCGAGACTCAGGTGAGGATTGCAACTTCATACATTTATACTGCATTTTCTAAAACACTATTATTCACATCAACTTACCTCGTGTTGTTCTCTTTAAAGACCTCCAACCTACTTTTTATACACTGGCTTCTGAAACTTCCAAAATAAATCAACTACCTTCCCTCGCTCGAGGATGCATCCGTGAGATGTTCTCGTTTTTCAGCACACACTTTCTCTCTCTTTGGTAACGTGTGCATGAGTAGGCATTTACCTCAGGATGCTCTTCCAGAGAATCTGAACAGATCCCTCTACGTAAAGCTGATAATGAACGCTGGTTGTGCTTTAGTTAAAGGATCTTATTCATCATTGCCGGAGGGAACATGGTGTTTTTTCTTTTGTGGCTTGAAGCAGAGCAGTAACATCTGTTGTGGAGGATTGCGGGGCATCGAACGAAGCCGTATTACTCTGGGGTGTTGAATGGAAGTCATGAAGAGGCTGGAAACACTATCATCCAGAGGTAAACGCAGATGTGTTTCTAAGAGTAGCAGATTCCATCAGTTCTTCACCTCCCGTGGTGGTTTTTATAAACTGAGTGAGTGTGCTGGTCGGAGCAGGAACCACAGAACAGCTGGGAACCATAATGTGACCACATGTGATTCACTCACCTCGGCATGGAAAGAAAGTCAGTCTCACCTTTGAATAACCCTAAATGTTACTTACTGCGGCTGCACTGAAGCCTGCTGGTCACTGCCTGTTATTACAGCAGTCGTCATCATCACGGCTGCAACTGTTTCTCATTGTGTGGTTTTATTACCACTGATCTCACTGCTGCCGACGCTTCTATTGAAACTATTTAAAGTCTGCTGATTGTATCCTAAAGCTCAAGAATCGGTGATACTGCAGCGGACATTGCAGAGCTGTGTGTGTGTGTGTGTGTGTGTATTGTGGTTTTACCTGGACTCAGCTCCACCAGATAAGGCAGTTTCTCAGGCGGCAGTGAGCTGCTACTGTCCTTCCCTCGGAGGCCCTTGTCCTCCACCTTTCGTCCCTTCCGCCCCGGGTAGTCAGGAGGTCTCTTCTTCAGCTGGAAAACTAATGCTCCTGAAAGAAGGACGTAACACAAAATGTCAGCCGCACGATCATCTTGTATTCAAGCTATGACTCATCACTCTCTGATTCCTATACAGTGATTTCATGTTCCAACTCTAACAGTTTCAGATGCTTAAAGAGAGCAAGAGAAAATTAACATACTAACAGAACTGTAATGCCAGTAAAGCAGCAGGAGGGGGCAGTAGAGACCGAGAAGTGTGAGCATGTTTCTGTGCACGTGTGTTTTTGTGTGTGTGTGTGCGTGCGTGTGTTACCTCTGTCAGCAGGCCAGTCCCTGAAGATCTGCAGCGGACACTCACTATCATCCAGAATCACGTCTTTGCCCGATTTTTCATCTTGCTGCAGAGTAAACAAATCCGAAGACAATCAGGAAGTTAAACGGTTAAACATTAAAATCCACCCCTGGTCAAAACAATAACCAACACACAGGCCTTCTTAGAGAATGTGTGAGATCTATGAGATCCAAAGGGTAACTGAATTACTTGGAATGTATACAAGTACATGTACATTCAAACTTGATAAACACCAGCTTCTGGACATAAGTGACAAAAACCAGAAGACGAGAAATGTCAAAACACAAATTGATGATCCCACAAACTTTTTTATTTTACCTCCCAGGTAGGTAACGAGTCACAGCAGCTTCATGAGACATATCTACAGGAAGAGATTATTACCTCCACCGAGCAGGATTACACAAAAACTACAGGACTAGCTTGACTTGAAGTTGGAGATGTATTTGTGGAGATCTCAGTCATCCAGGTCAGGGTTTCTACAGGAGTTGTAACTGTCTTGTACAAGTCCAGTTGCCTATAGTATTATGTACACGTGCACTTAACTAAGATTGGTTAAAGAATCCTTTCCACATTAGCTCATCTTAAATCTATATACTTGATTTAATAAAGATGACTCTGTAACTGCAGAGCATTCATTCTGAAGTTGTGACGGTCACTGACTGGTACATGAACCGTTTTTGAGAACAGAGATCGGTGCCATCTCCTCAAATTATTTTGTTCTCAGGCCACAACATTTTTGTTTTTTTTGAAAAAGTGAAGTATAAAGCTGTCCTACATCTCTTCATCCTGTTCAGTCCAATCTCAGTTAACATCCCCTCCCCCGCTGAACAGAAACACGGCTGACTTACTACTAGCTAGTACACGTGTGCTCATTCCTCATGCTCACTAACCTAATGGACTTTCTCAGTGCTTTGGTCTCATCAGCAAATTGCTACTGACTATCAACCGGGTGCATGTGTGCATGTGTGCGTGCTGGGTCTCTGCAGGGTTCTTCCACTATATTGGATGTGGAGGCAGCAGTTATTTCGTATGATTGGCCGTAGCCAGAGTCTATCTGAGGATAGATGTGGTTGAAAGAGAACGTGAGGAGGGCACGAACACACACACACACACACACACACGGAGCATCTGCTGCTGCTTTAGCACTGAAAGCAATTGAATTGCATTCCTCCCAAAGGTTTTTGTGCCAAATAGCATTCTGTTTCAATCTGCCCGTCCGCTGAAGTGTGTGTTCACAATTATGAGTATGTGACCGTGACCTTGGCTGTCCCCTCCGCGGCCTCTTGGAGGGATGATGGAGGTGTTTATTAATGAGGTAGGAGGATGGAGGTTGTGTTTGGTGGAGAAATGTCAGGATGTAGGTGTTCCCTCAGCAGAGCACATACCTCCGCTGAGGCCGGACAAAACCTGGATCTGCCCACGTAAATATTTTATAAATTCACAGGCCGGGCCCAATCCTTCTTCCAAGTTTGGTGGAAATCAGTTTAGTGATCTTTATGAAATCTTGCTGACAATTACACAAACACATAAGTGTGAAAATGTAAGTTCCTTGCCTGGAGAAATCGATGCTGTGATCAAATACCAGCACATTCCCTCTGACTGTATATCAGTTTAACGGCGTGATAAAAAGAGGAAAAACATGTTTTCATTGCACAGAGAAGCTGAAGAAGCGTTTTGGTGGTAGGAAGACACTAAATTAGATTTTCTCGTCAGTGCTGTCAATGTAAAGAAGACGGATGCGTTTGATGAGATGTGAAGAGTGGAGAGGGAGCTGTGTTTTTAGGGTTTAATGTGAGAATGGAGGATGGATGTCCTCCGATATAAAAGCTGAGGTAGGTGTAGTAAGATGATCGTTGTTACCCGGGCGATGCAGTACTCTCTGGGGTTCTCCTTCTCCAGTCCATACTTCTCCAGCGCCTCCACTACGGCAAAGTCGGCCATGTCTCTAGTGGAGAGCAGGATGGTCTTGTAGGGGATGTTGGGCTTCAGACTGTCTGCGTATATCCGCAAAGTACCTCCTGCAGGACAACAAAGGTTTTTACTCATTACACCACGTTAACAGACCCCTACTTCTGTTTGAGCAGGAACACTGAGCACAGCGTGCTTCATGTAAACAGATGACAATGTAATTTGTGCTTTGGGACACTTAAGGACTGAATTAAATGTCCACTTGCAAGCAAAAGAAAACTAAATTAGAAGGGACTGACAGTTCTGCCCATGAAGCTGTATAATGAACCCCACTCTCATCTGAAGGTGCATGAGGCCGTGATGTGTCACCTAGAAATTATCACCTTAGCAAATCCCACAAGGGAGTCTTCAGCAAAGCAAACAGGGTTTTCAGAAGCATTACATAAAACTAGTTCTTTAAAAAAAGCTCTGCTGGGAGAACGTCACCGTCTAACCACAAGCCGTCCTGTCCCACTGTGTGTGTGTGTGTAAACAGTTGTTTTGAAGCTGTATTTAGAACCATGTCCGCTCGTCCATCTGTCTGTCTGACTGAGTGATTAGGAAATAACTGAGTCACACACTGAACCAACCGTTCAGCTTGTTTGCATCGTTCATCAGGTACATTGTGTGTGTGTGTGTGTCTGTGTGTGTGTGTCTGGGAGACGTTCTCAAACGACATACTGCTCGTCCTCAGTGGAGCAGCTGATGTAAACATGACGATCCAAAGCGTATGCTCTCTTTCACAAATGTATTACTCACGGAACTAGAATTGCAAACCTGCACTCACAGTAACAGTTCCACCTTCTGGCTGATCCAAGAAAAGAAATCCCTGCTCTTACTTTTCACCAGAGATGTCCCTGGTAGTATTTTAACAAAGCCACCAGCTACAGTAGTGGGTCTTCAGGTGTGTGGTGTGGATGGCGATTGGGGGGAACTGAATGTTTGAACCACATTTGAAGACATTTCCTCAAAGCATTCTTGAGATATCGTGTTCTCAAGAATGGGACCACGTCTCAGAACCCTCGTGTCTTTGGCCGCTGACTGTCGCCAGCACGAGGTATAAAAAGGAAATATCTAATTTCTTCGCCGATTCAGAGGTTTTACTGCAGATACTGCAGATTCCTTCCAGCGGATTTTCTCACTCCCTGTCACACTGGGATTGAGAATGAGGAGCGGCAGTGAACTGTGACGTTCAGGTCACTCTGCACATTTTCTCTGAGGGACACATCGGGTTTTGCTTTTAGCATCTCAAGGACGTATTGACTTGTTGCAAAGCCAGTTCAGCATCGTCTCGGGGGGTGTGTGTGTGATAACGGGGGCTTTTTCTTGAAGCTGTCCTTTCACTTAAATCAATAAAGGAGTGTTGGAGAAATGTTTGCAGCAGATTTCAGGTTAAAAAAAAAAATCTCATTAAAGTCCTGGAACTTTCCAGCACTTTGCAAGGTTTTCCTCATCACATGATCTGGATCCTCAACACTGCTCCACCTTGCATGGAAATCCATTATCTTAGTTTTTGCTCTAGAAGACACGCGCGACTGAACTACGTGTGATTAGAGAATCAAAAAACACTGTGGCATCAAGTTGACATACCTGAGTCAGGCCTCCCATCGCTGCTCATGAACTCCTGCATTCGTTTCTCCAGCTTCTGCTGGCGTCTCCTCTTCATCACCACCTCTGGGTTGGAGATTGTCCTGGTAAAGCTGGTCTCGGGCATGTCCTTGTAGACCTCTGCCGCCAGACGACTGTTTTCCCTAAACCACAAAGATGAATGTGATGAATGACTGGGGATAAGACGGCGTAAGTAGAGGGTGAAAAAAAAGAGGAAGACAGATGGAGGAAGAGAAAGGTCAAAGTTTAAATCACTATTCTTTCCTCTTTTCTTGGCATTGGGGAAAAAAAGAAGATGCTCTCTAAGGACAGAGGATGTGGGAGCAGGACAGTAAGATGGATAACTATGAGCATGTGTGCGTTACCCGTCCTCCCGGTTGAGCATCTGCTCGTCTCCATCGGGGATCCGGGCAAACTCCTTCTCCCTCTTCTTTTCTTTCTTCTTCTCCTTCTTGGACAAAGTCCGCTTGAAGTTCTGAATCACTCCATCCTTCTCCTTCTCTGGCCCGTTACTCTGACTCTTCTGGTAGAGAAAGTTAGTGAGTGACCATGAGCAAGCAAGCCACAGAGAATAAAGATATAGTACAAACCGAATGAGCAGAAGACAATCCACTACGCAAAAACAATTACTAGAGGCGGAGCTGCACGAATCGTTGTTGAGGTAAACACAACATTGTTGACGGATGAATGCGCTCACTAAGTAAACTGACAGGTTAGTAGTCACACAGGTTAACAGGAGGAGCAGCCGACCTTGGGCAGGATGTCGTTTTCATTCTTCAGGACAAAGCGTCCCTCTCGGTCATCTTTGTTCCAGTTCAGCTGAACAACAAGAGGCTTCTCGTCCAGGTCCAGCTGACGCTCTTCTAACACACACACACACACACAAACACACACATGCCAGTAAGTCTGAGATCCAACTATATCAATTCATAATCATTCCAAATGCTGAAACATTTTGAAAATGATTTTGGTTGCCTCCTGAATGTCTGAGGGACTCACCGCCACTGACGTGGACCTCGTACAGGGAGTATTTTGGCGAGGAGAGCATCCTCATGTCTGGTCTGAACTTCTCAGCTAACGTCTCGATGACGTCCTGCGTTGTCGCTGTGCTGGACACTCGGATGCACTTGGTGGCAAAGTTGCCTGCAACCCGGTCCTGGAAGTAGAACCGCATGACGCCATGGAACTCCAAGTCCTGGTCAAGAGAAAGAGGGGAAACACAAAGTCCATTAAGCGTTAACACAAAGTGAGCTGCTCAAACGCAATCTGCTTTCAGTACAATCATGGTTTCATGACTGGTTGACTCTCCAGGACTGACACAGGAGGAGAGAATCAAAAAATTGCCAATGATTCTTTAGACGCTGTCGTCAAACTATTATGACACAGAAATGTAATTCACGCTGGATTTTACAGTTAAACATATTTTCTACATTGTTTATTCTGTAACAAGGTTTTATGTCATCAAACATAATTGATCGGCTAACTTTTACACGCAGAATGACAAAATTATATATTATAACATCTGCACAGTAAACAGTGTAGAATACCCCTTTATTTTACAGGTCTGTAATTTCAGAATCATTTTGAAATAATTTAGGAAGGTAAAAAGTCTGTAATTTAGTATAGACAGAGTTCAACTCCACTTCGAGTTAATTACTCACATTAACTGTTTAAATGCAGCGTTTGTTTCAATAAAAAAAATCCTATTTTCTCTATAATTGACACATAACCAAATGACACACTTCTTTCCTGGAAATGTTTATACCTCCTAACTATGAAATAAAGCCTCATCGAGTTCACCTCATTTCTTTCTCTCTCGCACATGCGCACACACACCATTAAAGCTCAGACACAGCCGGTGTCCCACAGAATGAGGGATGTAAAAACACAACACACCCAAGAGTAGCTGCAGTACAGATTTACAGCCTCCACGTCTGCAAGTGTAGAACAAGGTCTCAAACACAAACACATCCAGTCCTCATATGATCACATGTAACACAGTGCTGACACAGCATCCGCAGCTTGTGCATATATGCATATGTTAAGGTTCAGCTTGAAACTGGTGCGGATGACCTGGGTGCCTCAAAGCTTAAGCTTCAAATATTTCCAAGGTGAATGAGAGCTGTGCTTGTTTTTTCACGGACGCTCTACCGATAAAGGTTATTATTTTTAATTATTATTATTACTTCAGGTTTTATTTGGTCGTGCGTTCTGTCTTCAAACACACAGCCGTGAGAAAACCTTGATCGTGGTTCTTCTGCAGCGCCGGATACCTTGTTTCCTGTCCGGATGCCAACAAAGTAATTTTGTATTTGAATTTTAAAGTTCGCCAAACGACTCTCTGAAAAGGTGACAGATCAAGTGTGTGTGTGTGTGTGTGTGTGTGTGTGTGTGTGTGTGTGTGTGTGTGTGTGTGTGTGTGTGTGTGTGTAACCTACAGCTGAGGCCGACGGACAGCGAGTGAGGTGATTTGGGGCCAAGGTTTAAACTAGATTGAACTAGATTAATTCGACCCTGTTAACGCCTGTCGTTGGCCTCTCTCACACACGTACACCCACAACTGTAGAGTAAAGACAACGTGGTGAAGAGGACGTAAAGACTGAGTCATAAACACGGCCTGAAACAGAGAGGAGAGAAATCTGCACTACAAAAAGAAAAGGAGAGAGACGGCTATAAGTCATGTTTAGGTTTTTTTTGGCATGACGTGAAAAAAAAAAAACCTCTTCCTCCGCCTCTTTCTCTCAGATACTTCCTCCCTCTTTTCTCTCCCCCGCCCCTCACTTGATAAAGACTCGGTCAGGCAGAGTGGAAAGACTGAGCATAGTTTCGATAGGCGAGGGTGGAGCCGGGAATGTGTCTATGTGTGTGTTGTGATTTACGGCTGGAATGTGGGTCATCGAGGGCTGCCGTTGTCAAGCTTGCGTAACCGCTGGTAACTGTTACTGTGGAGACACCCGTCCACCCGGGTTCAAACAAAGCCAGCAATGGATAACTAACACCACAAAAGTCGCCTCTTTGGCCACTTGGTCCAACCACGTTAAGTTCAAGTCCAGCACGACGGTAAAACTCCCCTACACCTGTGGGACATGGTACAGTCCTACAGACTCGTTTCTTCCGGTTGTGATTCATCCCCACACCCCCACATTCATGGCAATGGTCCAATCCTGCACATGCAAATTTAGACGATTCAAAAGACCACAACAAACAACCTCATACGTCACTTCCGTGGTTTCGGTTCGACACCTCTATGCCTCTGAATGTTTTTCTGGATTTGTTCAAACACCAGACCGTTTATAAAAATGGACTCTGAGCCCAGTTTTATTTGGACCCACAACTTCGAACTTGACCTCTGACACCATTTTGTAGCTGCTTGCAATTTTGAATCCAACTCTAGTGTGTGAAAATGCAAACTGTTCAACATGAGGGTGAAACAAGAACACCCTGTTCACTTGAACCTCTCGCTTCCACTAATCCACAGCAGTTTTTTTTTTTTGACAGAAAATGCTAATGCAGCAAAATGTCAGCGTCAGTCAAACACACTGTCACATACTTTCTAGTTAGTGCGACCTGGTTGACACAGTTTAATACTGGAGTGCAGCTTTTTTCCACTGAACTCTTCGGGCATGCTAAATATACAGTAATACTTCCTGAGTGTGTGGTAAGACCGTTTGTTCCAACGCCGCCTTTGTAAGCGTCTGAACAAACCTCCACCCAACCCCAACCTTCACCACTGAACCACAAATCTGCTGCTTCTCAATTGGGGTCACAGCTTTTGTCCCCACTTGGACAAGTCTTCCCCAATTAACTGGTCGTCGGTCCGAATTCTGTCTCCAAAGGCGGCCTGTGACGAAAACACACACTCACATGTGCACACAGAGAGAGAAAGAGAGAGAGAGTAAAGATATGTGGCTGATACCTGTGACTAAACTTGTGAGACAGGACTATTCCACACACGCACACACGCTAACCGCTCATCCACACACTGTGTGTGACACAGGAAAGTACGCTGCATGGGAGATAACCCTGCCTTCTAAATCCACCCATCATGCTCTCTGGCCAACGCCTCTGGGTCAGAAGTCTTCCTGAGCGGAGGTCGAAGGTCACATCTGTGTGCTGATGAGAAAGTGAGTTAACTTCACTCGGATTGTAGAATAACAACAGTCTAGTTCCTGTCACTAGGTGGAGGTGTGTGTGTGTGTGTGTGTGTGTGTGTGTGTGTCTCAGAGAGGTGGTAGAATTTAACTTTAGGCAGACACAATTCAAATTAATTTCATACTTTGAGGTGTGTTTCATTAAACCACAATAAAAAAACCTAATCAGATCCGACTACATTTCATAAGATCTACAGTCCCACTAACAAACTGTGACATTAATCACTTTGGTTATTTTATACATCCTGTATTACACGACTGGAAGTAACAGTATGAGTTACAGTATTTCTCCTTCTCATTGTCTAAACAGGGAAATAAAAACTCATTGTCACAAGAGCAAAACAAGTCTCTATAAAACCATGAAGCTTTGACTTCATTACCCAACCTGACTGTTATAGGTCTTAATTTATTAATCAGCGGATTCATTGATGGATCACTGCTCTATTAGATGTCAAAAATAATTCCTAAGCAAATATCCAGCACATGAGTCACGAAAGCTGACTCAAGGTATCATTGACAGAAACAGGAAAAGGAAAAAGGAGTAAAACAACATGAAGACTATCGGAAAATGCTCGTCTGCGAAAAGGAAAACATTAATTAAAGCTTCAGATGTGCAGAGAAAACAAATGTGACGCAGCCGGAGGAAGAACATAAAGCTATGAACATGTTGTCTGCCTCTCAGCTCGTTACATCTGCTCCAATTTTGCTTTGTGTGCAACTTCTGCTGCCGAGAAGCTTGAAGAAACAGGTAGACGATGTCACTTCGTCACAGAATGACCGAAACAACACGAGTACAAAGTGCGACTGGAGTTCTACCACACATTTTTCACATTTGACTCACAAACCAACTTCAGTCTGCTGATTAACAAACTTCACTGAAACTTTAATGGGTTTGAGTCCGCTTGACTGACCAGAGAACTTCTTCAAGTACCGTTACCACTTTACAGATATCGGTCAACCATCTCTACACTCTCCATCATGTCTCACTCACTCTTATCAATCCTCCCCATCTTTGTGTCCCTCCCCTGCTTACTGCAAGACGCCCAGAGCCTTTTTATACTGATCCTACTCACTGTGTGTGTGTGTGAGTGTGTGTGTGTGTCTCTATGGAGCGTAGGGGGTTATCAGGTGTTAAGGAAACTAACCAGAGCTCCTTTCAAAGCCATTAAACCACTCTTGGCCTCTGGTGTGATGCGTCTGTGTTGACTTGACATTGCTGCATGTCTGAGAGGATTCTGGAATAAACACACTATACTGAGGATAAAGTGTACACCATTTAAACTGATCTTTATTCACACGGTGTAAAATTAGAAAAGACACAGAAGAGCACATCCCTACTTCAAGGCCCTTAAGTTCTGCAACAAATTAAATCACGTCTGGTTGGACGTAGTTCTGAAACGATTGAAGACACATTCACACAATTCATTCCCAATTGAATCCACATTATCTCAGTCTCCCACTGGTGGAAGTTACAGGTTTCGAGTGCTGTTTGTTACCACACAGCAAAGTAAATCCTCTAAAGATCCAGATCTCTATTTGGATTTGCACCAAATTGCAGAGATTTGTCGAGATCACGTCCCTAAGTATAAGGTGCACTTCCCGCCCACTTTAAAAACGGTTTTGGATTTTCGATAGTGAGAGCAGGGTGCCAGTTGCTGAGCTGGACTTTTATTACACATCTGCTGTAACAGGGAGCTGTGGTTCCTGCAGGCTTCGAGTGCTGATCTCAGTTTAGTGAAGATAATGCTCATTGGGATGTGATCGAAATGCAATATGAAAACAATTGGAGTCAATAAAATGTTTCCTGTTACGCAGTCATGGCCCAACGGCTCTCGGAGAAACCCCCTGATCTTGGGGCAGGGTCTCAGGGTAGTTTTTAGCTTCCTCTCTCTCAAGTGTTATGTCTACCAAGAATCTACCAACACTCATTTCTCTTGATGCACTGAACACAAATTCTGGCAGAGCAAGAGAAAGGCGTTAAAGATCTGTTTCCTGGGAGACTCTGAATACCTGAATTCTTTGGCATTGAGCAGATGAATTAAAA